TAGACAACAACGAAAACAAGCCAGTTTGGCGAGCAAGTCAACAACCTCCCCACAATCCATGCTACAAATCTTCGCTGAAACTTTAAATGTAGACGGCCTTGTTGATATTAACGGGGCCCTATTCTCTCCCTAGCTACTCTTTTTTTGCTCTTAATGTACTTGTAGAATCTCTTTGGATTATCCTTATCTGCCAAAGTTATCTCACATCCCCTTTTTACCCTCAGTACTGCGTGATAAAAGGAAGAAGTACCTTCCAGCTCAAGAAAAGGGAGGCAGTCAGAAAGAAAACTTTATAAAATAAATTGTGTAAAAGTTAAAGCTGGAGAACAAGCATAATGTACAAACTGGTATGTTGGCATTTTATGGTGATTCAAAGAGATTGTTTATATAATATTACCAGTGTTATCTCTTTACAAGGAGAATGCAAATAATATACATATGCAAAATATCCGAAACACCAGAGCAGGTAAAAATAACTTTAAAAGCAGGCCTATTTAATCTTATTAACCTACAAGAAACATTTGGTCCAGTATATGTCATCATTATTAATCAAATAGTTTCCAGCATGGAGAATGAAATAATTTACATGCTAGTAATTACGGAAAAAGATTTCCTCTGGTCTCATTCTTTTAATGCGGTCCCAGTGCTGTTCGTGAATTTGGAAAACCATCTGTTGCTTCAAAGCTCCATTCCCCCTGCTGTGCGTTTATATTCAGAACACAGACACACACTGGATAACTAGGAGCAACTCCAGGAATCTGTGCTGTTGATGTGTTCTTTCCTGAAGTGGACAGTCTCCAATAAAACTGTCAGTGACCTACATGTGCATTTTCCGTAATTCCTCTACGTATGAGGATTTGCCAGGTGTAGGCCACCATGGAAATTCCCTTAAAATTTAACAACAGCTGCACTTGCAATAAGTATCCACCTGTTTAACAGGCAATAAAATGAGCAACAACTCTTTCCTTAAGAACCAGGGATATTTCAACTTCCTAACAGGATAGAATAAGATATCCTTTTTGCAAAACCTGTATGGGGACAGGTTTTCCAGCAGCTACCCCTCTGGATTGAAAACACTGAAGGTTTGCAACCCTTTCAGGCAAGTAATTTCTCCTCATCTCAGTCCTAGATGATTACTGCCTTATCCTGATGTACACGCACTGGGCTTTAAATTCCGTGACCACCGGAAACAATTCAGTATTGAGCCTATTGAACCTCTTCAGATTTTTTTTGTATGTTTCAATGAAATTGACTGTCATTTTCTAAACTCGAGACATCAGACCAATTTACTCAGATGCTTAGCATGGGACAACCCGGTCATTTCAGGAATCAGTTTACTTGAACCTTTGTTGTACCATCTTGAAAGCAAGTATCTCATTCCTTAATTGCGGAGACCAAAACTGCATGTAATAATCATAGTTTAGTATTTCTTTTAATAGATTTTATTTTTGTGATTTTTTTGGGGTTTTTTTGTTTTAGTTACAGCCATAGTACCAATTAACCCCTTCTGCATGTGGAAATCATAGCTTCAGTCAGTTTACCAGTGGTGTTTTCTGACCCAAAATATAAACCGCTCCTGTTTCTCACCTTCATAGGGAAAACACAGCCAATTTTAATATGTTTCTGACTCTCTTGGGCTTAGACTGAGTTACAACAATCTTGGAGATTTGGGCGTGAAACTACTGACTGCAACTCTGAGGAATCCAAACTCTGAAATACAGACAGTTGAATAAGTACCAGACTCAGAAATTGTTTATAATAACTGATTTTATTCTGATATTGATCATTAATATTGCAGTAATTGTACTGATGTTATACTGTGGGTGTAGGTCGGAATACATAATAGGCAAAACAACATTGGTGGTGGTTATGGGAACCTGTGTTGTTGAGATTGATAATAACGTGCTCACTGATGCATGGTTTGCATTTCATCAAATCCATTTAGCTCTGGACCCCATTAGTGCCTTGGTCCAAATATGGACAAAAGAGCTCCCCTCAGGGAGCTTAATGGTGACTGCCCTTGAAACCAAGGCTGCATTCAAACAGGGAGTCCTAACAGGATTAAATGAGAATCGAGGAAACTCTCTCCATTTATGGGAGTCATACCTGGCAAAAAGGACGTTGGTTGTGGTGGTTAATCATCCCAACCCAGAACATCAGTGCAGGAGTTCCTCAGTAGTGTCCTCAGCCGAATCATCTTCAGATGCTTCATCAGTGACCTTCCCTCCACTGTAAGGCCAGAAGTGAAGATGTTCACCGATTAATCAATATTCAGTGGTATTTGTGACTCCTCAGATACTAAAACAGTCCATGTCTAAATGCAGCAACACCTCGACAGTATCCAGGCTTGAGCTGACCAACAGCAAGTAACTTGGTGCCCACGTGACTGCCAGGCAATAGCCTTCTTCATTAAGTGATAATCTATCATCCCTTATATACAATGACATTATCATCACTGAATTCCCCGTTATCAACATTCTGGGGGTTATCATTGCATAGGGACTAAAGTGGACTTGCCATATAAATACTGTGGCTACAAGAACAGGTCACACGTTGTGAATTTTTCAGCGAGTAACTCACCTCCTGACTCTGCAAAGTGTGTCTCCCACCTCGAAGGCACAAGTCATAAATATCATGTAATGCTTCCCACTTGCCCAGGATGAGTGCAGTTTCAACAACACCTAAGAAAGTTGACACATTCCAGGGTGATGCATCCCACTTGATTAGCATTCCATCTAAGATCTTAAGCATCCCTTCCCTCTGCCACCGATGGACAGTGGGAGCAATGTGTGGCATCTAAAAGATGCACTGTAGCAACTCTCCCAAGTTCCTAAGACAACAGTTTCCCTACGTGCGATCTCTGCAACCTAGAAGGAACAGGGCAACAGATCTATCAAATACTACTCCAAACCGCACATTATTCTGACTTGCAATTGTATCACCATTCCTTCACTTTTACTGGGTCAAAATTCTAGAGCTCTCTTTTCAACGGCACTGTGGGTGTACACAGCCTCCATGGACTGCAGAGGTTAAAGATGGTTGTTGATCATAAACTTTTTCAGCAATTAGAATTGGGCAATAAATGCTGACAGAGCCAGTGATGTCCACATCACGTGAATATATCAAAAAAACTCACTCCTGCCATATTTATGCAGAATTCCATTGTTTTGCTGTCATGCTGATCTCCAGGTTGGATAATAATGCTCTCTCATATTCTTGTGGCAAGGATCTCACCTCTGCTCTCAGTACAAAGAAGTCACTGAATCTGGACTTGGGTAGTAAACTAGGATATTCAGGAGTGAAACTGCTGTCTGTGAATCTGAGGAATAGACTGTAAAATACAGAGGCTGGGGTTAGTGTGATATGTGTGATATCCTGCTGATAATAATTGGACATCAGACATTTTATTATCATCAATGTGAGTCATGGTGTTAATAAATGCTGCATGTTAATATTACTATCAGTACTGACTTTGTTTATTAAAAGACTATCTGTATTTACTCTGATTCCTGTAATGTTTCTCTCTTTGACGTACAAGCTAGACAGAATTAGCCTCGCATATCATGGACCCTGCCTTAATCTAAGTCAGAGTTTAAGAAACAAGTTCCAGAAGTGAAATTATAAGTCAATCATCTACAATTATTTTGAATAATTTGAGGGAGCTGACCAGGAGGTGTGTGGGGCATGAGGCAGTATGTGATAATCAACAGGAGGTTCCCTTGCCCATGTTTGATCTGATGCCAGGAAATTTCATTGGCTCCAGAGTCACTTGTGAAAACTTGCAGAACATCTGTCTCCCGGTGATAGGACACCATTGTGCCTCCTGTTGTGCTAGGTCTTTCCTGCTGCTGGACCAGGATATACCCAAGGATGGTGATGTGACGGAGGTATCTGGGACATGATAAAGGTAAAGGTTTAAGCTAGAATAGAGAATGATGGAAATCTGGGAGGGGAGACAAGAATAAGGGAAACAAAATGGAAATGAGGGAATCGAAAAGCAGATGCATAGAAAATAATAGCTAGCAGCCCAAAATAAAAGGAGTACAAAAGAAATAGTGCAAGAAATATTAGAAAGATAAGTCTTCAAGCACTAAAGCGGCATGGTGGCTCATTGGTTAGCACTGCTACCTACTCGTGGCAGGGACCCTAGTTTGATTCCACCCCCGGGCCACTGTCTGAATGGAGTTTGCACATTCTCCTTATGTCTGTGTGGGTTTCCTCCGAGTGCTATGGTTTCCTCCCGCAGTCTAAAGATGTGCAGGTTAGGTGGATTAGCCTTGGGAAATGCAGAGTGACAGGGATAGGGTAGGTGGGTGAGTTTGGGTGAGATGCTCTTCAATGTTTAGCTCAATGGGCCGAATGGCCTGCTCCCACACTGTAGGGATTCCGTGATGGTATATTTGAATGGATGGAGCATTTGCAATAAGATTGATGAATTAACTATTATGCACATGGGTATATTGATTTTTCAGGGTTTGTGATTACACTTACCCAGTACTGGCAGTTGATGATTTGTAAATAATTTTCTGTTAGTTTATTGAGTTTGTTAAGAAGTAGGAGTTTAGATCTGATACATTACTGAGTTTGATAAAATTAATCTACAATTGTGATGATTAGAGATGATACCAGTGGGCAAACATGCTGTTGGCATGAATGTTTCTGTCTCCTTAAATAGTGTGGGCAGCCTTTTGCTATCTCGCCAAGGTGGTAAGGAAATCTTCCTTTGGTTTTCCCCCTCTTTTGCCTGGTGAGAACTGCTTGATGAAGACTGCTGTCTGGGTATTGACTATGTGATGAGAACTGCCCTCTTGAGAGAATTCTCCCTCTAAGCCCTCCTCTCTGAGTTTGGCAATTTATAACACCTGAAGGAGGAGTGAGGCTAGCTTGTGTTTTCAAATAAACCAGTTGGATTATAACCTGGTGTCATATGATTTCTGACCTTGTCCACTCCAGTCCAACACCGGCACCTCCACATCTGGCAGTTATTGTCAGATCATATTTCACAAGACAGGAACTTGCACTGTATCAGTCAATTGTCTGAACGCTTTTATCCATTGGCCATGTGTCAACCACTCCCGATGATTATCGCCCTCTTGCCCACCTTCATCTAAAGGTTTATCATTCTGTCTAAGAATAAATATTTTTGAAACCAAGTAGGTGCATTTTTCATCAGATAACTTAGTGCCTCTAGTTCAATGGGCATTGTGATCTTACTATATTTTGTAATTCTTCCCTCTGTTCTCATTTGGTAAAAGTTTTGGAAGTTACATTCTGCTGGAATAGCTGTTAAATAAAAATCTTGTGTTCCACTGTAAATGAGGAAAATTCAATTTTTAAGGGACCCAAATATTCAACAGGAACCATATGACTGTAATTACAAAGTCATTGATATGGGGTGAGCAAGTCTGGGAACTGCCCATTCAAGAATATTCAGACATCAGGAAGAATGAGGAGGAGGAAATGAAAGGAAATTCTGGTAGACAATGTTCAGCAGGTGAGCAGTTGTAGTGGCACAAAAAGATCAATGTTCTGGCATATTCTGACCAGAGGTGTGCAGCAAACAATGTTAAACTAACAGTTGCATGTGACCAAAGATGAAAGAAGATATTGTAAGAAGGACACCATCACTCGAGCCTCCTCCTGCCCAACTTTTGAGGTAGGTACAGTTCCAACCAGTGGAGTGGTTCACGTCAGTTTTACCAGGTGCCATATTGTTAACTCTGCTTCTCTCCTTGACCTCCTAACTGTTCACAGGATATACCTTTCAGATTTACAGCATCAGTAGTACTTTGCCTTATTAATAAATGGAAGTTTAGTTTCTTGTAAGTATCTCACTATTGTTTAAAATGCTGAGGATCCACCCTGATTCCAGTTATTTTTTGTCTCCCCACACCCAGGCTGGATGACAATGGCAATCCCAAATTCTTGCATCAAGCATCTTGCTTCCGCTCTGAGTGCAAACCAGTCACTAATGGAGCTGAACCTCAATGATAATAAACTTGGAGATTTTAGAGTGAAACTATTGTCTGCAGCTCTGAGTAACCAGGACTGTAAAATACAGAAACTTGGGTAAGCAGCAGGTTATGTGAGAATGTATTCAGAATAACTGGAAGTTTGCCAGAGCATTATTATTAGTATCAGCAACAATGTAAGTGATAAACCCTGGACATTTACTTTAATTCCCCTTTATTTCTCTTAATGATTCCCTGTCTTGACAAGAACGATCTCACAGATTCTTGTGCCAAGGATCTTGCTTCTGCCCTCAGCACAAACAAGTCACTGACTTATCTGAACCTGGGATCAAACCCATTCATAGACTTGACCTGCAGGACTATGGAACATATCAAGTGAGTGCTTTTGTTGTTTGTTATCGTAATTAGTAGGATATAAATGTGATTCAATCATTTTCATGGTGAATATTCTGTCACTGTTATTGAAATGCTAATCCACTCTGCCTTTATTTTCACCACTGTTCAATTCTTCATTGATTTGAGTTCTAATCTGTTTCAGACTGCAGATGAATTGGCTCAGTCCAAATGGAAAACAAAACCTGAATTTGCTGCAGGAATACAGAACCAGTCTGAGAGTGACAGTGTGAAGATTTCAATTTATCCAACATCCTTATATGAACAATTTTACCTGCTTTCCTGTCCTGCTCCTTTAAGCAGCCATGTTCCAGTTGAAATCCTTTTGACCATTTCCCAGCTCAAGCTGTATGAGGGTCATCTCCCATTGACAGATCAGAGACCCAGCCACAGGGTCAGGAGACTCAGGGGCCCAGCCCAACAGTGCTGCTTTTCTGCAGGATCTCTCAATGGGGACTTGCATGGATAGGAAGGAACAAGCCACTGGGCTCAGTCTGGCTGCAGTGAAACACGGACAATTATACTGAGTATTCCTGGGTTTGGGGAAAAGTAATGAAGGTTCGTGCTCTGTTTTAGTTCCCAATAACCCAGCTGGGAAGTGAGCCTCCATCACTTAAGGATGTGGACAGGAATTATGCATGAGGTGTCTGTTGGGGAGATTTCAGCACAAAATGTAATGCAGAATTCGACTGCAAGTTTTTAAATTGTTTTCTGCCTTCTCTAAGTTAGAAAACCACAGTTGTTGAAACAATATATTTAATACAGACTCTGCCCTATTAATATTCACTATAGAATTTCTAAACACCTGGAATGACACATGCGACTTGAGCCTCAGGTAAAGAAGTTGACCTGGTAAATTTGCCTGCTCAAAGAGTAACAGATTCTGGAGGGTGAGTGAGCCAGTGTGAACCAGACTTCAGTAAATGGACAGCCTGAACAGCTGCTTGTGGTCTAAATGCAGAGCAGCATGGTCAGCATTTAAACAGAGATGACAGTTTAATCTTTTGAGTCACGTTCTTTATGATGTAACTCTGTATTGATACCACAATTTTAGAAACTGATGGACCTGCTGGATATTACCTGAGTTTCTTGTTTATTTTACAATCCCCATCATATGCAGTTTGTTGATTCTGTCCATTGCTTTCATTCATACATTTGTGGTATGTGGGTATCGCTGACTGGTCAACATTCATTATTGTCTATGCCTAGTGGCCATTGAGAAGGTGGTGGTGAGCTGCCTTCCAGAACTGCTGCAGTCCACCTGCTGTGGGTTGACCCACAATGCCCCTAGGGAATGAATTCCAGGATTTTGACGCAGTGAGAGTAAAGGAATGGTGATATATTTCCAAGTCAGAATGATGAGTGGCCTGGAGATAAACGTGAAGCGGATGTTCTCATATATTTAAGGCCCTTGTCCTTCTAGATGGAATTGGTCTTGGGTTTGGAAGGTGTTGTCTGAGGATCTTTGGTGAATTGCTGCAGTGCATATTGTAGATGTTCGCAGCAGTGTGTACTGAGCATCGGTAGTGGAGGGAGTGGATGCTTGTGAATGTAGTGGCAAACGAGCAGGTGTCAGGCTTCTTGAGTGTTGTTGGAGATGCACCCCTGTAGCAAGTGGGGAGTACTCCATCACACTCCTGAACTTGTGTTTTGTAGTTGGTGGACTGGCTCTGGGGAGTCAGGAGGGAAGTTACTCACTGCAGTATTCCTACTTCGACCTACTGTTGTAGCCACTATGTTCATGTGGTGTCTGTAAATGGTGAAATTTCACTGCATTCATCAGACTTATAAATCATGGAGTAGGAGCCAACAGTTTTTAATCAGCAATGTCCAGTTTAGAATAACAAGCTCACAAGAAAGATGACCTGGTTTTAGATATCACCTGGGACCACAGACTGACAGACAGACAGACAAAGGAACAAAGCAAGACGACTCTGTGATTTGATGTAGAAACTCCTGACACTCCGAAGCCTGCAGCCATCTTCCAATTCTCAAGTCAGAAGTGTGTCAATGATGGTGCAGATCCAACAACACTGAAAACAATCTTGAGTCTGTCTAGGCCAAAGCAGCCCCTTGATTGGCACCATATCCACTCTCTCCACAACCAACTTGTAGAGACAATAATGTGTCCCATGTACAAGATGCACTGCCACATTTTTTTCCAACTATTCTTGGACACAACTTTCCAGACTTAGAAAACTCATCTTCAAGGCCAAGGACATCAGACATGGTAGCACTAACCCCAGTAAAAATCACCTCCAAGCTACTCAAACTTATTTGGAAATGTATTGTTGTTACTGAGTCAATATTAGTAATCTCCTTTGGAACAGCATTGTTGGTCTATGTACAGCAACATGAAGCTGTTCAAGAAGGCAGTTCATGCTGGACAAACAGCAACACCTATGTCTCATGAAAGAATAAATAAATTGGAAAGAAAACCATCTGAGAGTCACAAGCAAATGGGTACTTTTTTTGTTCACTCTGCAGATCAAGGGCTATTACCAACTTTGACAATGACAAATGAAGCATTTTTTTTGGTTTGGTATTGATAGCGGCTGTGCACAAAATAAAAACAATTGGCTACAATGTGCAGGACTGGATGAACAAAGCAGGCCAAGCAGCATCATAGGAGCAGAAAGGCTGACGTTTCGGGCCCAGACCCTTCATCAGAAAAGGGGGAGGGGAAGGGAGTTCTGAAATAAATAGGGAGAGAGTGGGAGGCGGATAGAAGAGGAATAGAGGAGAGGATAGGTGGAGAGGAAACAAACAGGTCGAAGAGGCGGGGATGGAGCCAGTTAAGGTGAGTGTAGGTAGGGAGTTAGGAAGGGGATAGGTCAGTCCAGGGAGGACGGACAGGTCAAGGGGGCGGGATGAGGTTGGTCGGTAGGAGATGGAGGTGCGGCTTGAGGTGGGAGGAGGGGATAGGTGGGAGGAAGGACAGTTTAGGGAGGCAGGGACGAGCTGGACTGGTTTTGGCATGCAGTAGGGGGAGAGGAGATTTTGAAACTTGTGAAATCTTCCTGTCCCGCAGGCCCGGCCAGTCCCCCTCCACTGATACCCTCATCCGCTTAGCCGAACTCGTCCTCACACTCAACAACTTCTCTTTCAATTCCTCCCACTTCCTACAGACAAAGGGGGTAGCCATGGGTACCCGCATGGGCCCAAGCTA